GGATTTTCGTCCTTGACGTGAAATTTTGAAATACGCTTGCAACAATGTGGTATCACATGAGCCTGGAAATAAAATTTGGTTCCTCTATAGCTCTCACAGTCTATGAGAACTAGGCGCTCATCAAGACGGACAGACAAACATGGCTGTACCAACTCGGATATTGATGATGTTCAAGAATATATATATCTACTTTACGTGGTCGGAAATGTTTGCTTTTTTTGCGGTACACACATCTACTTTGACCACAAATCCAATATACTCCTTAACTCTTCGAGTAGGGGTATAATACCGTATCATTCCAAAAAAAAAAAAAATCGATTTTGTTTTCTGGTGTTATTTACATTAGGTGGCAACGTTCAGAGGTACTCTGTGTGGTTTAATTTCTCTTTATAAAATAAAAAACAATAGTTAAGGCAAATGTAAAAGGATTTGATTTTTAGGTTTTTGGTTATAATTGTTTAATAGAGGAAGGCACGTACCAGAGCCAGTCCCAAAAGAATGTATAAACTTTTTACCCTGGTTTGTTCTAATTTCTGAAAAGTTATACAGACAGGCTGTTACATTCACTTTGCGTTTTACTTTTCACTAAAAGTCATACTTTTCATTTCAAGGCGCTCTGGAATCCACAAAAGTTGATTTATTTACTCCCTGTACTGTTAAGCGCCAAATTTACTGCTGTTATACCCACGCGTTAGCTCATACAAAATAGCCTTTGTTATGTTTAACAGACATTTATCGAATTCACTATTTGTTGTTGCACAGACCAACTTTTTTTAGATCCAATTTTGAGGTTACTTTAAAAAAATTATTTATAAGAAGGGCACAAGCTCAATTGGTAATTGTTTCAAATTCATGTCAATGCATCAATAAGTCATATTTTTTTTCTTTTGCAATTAATATTCCTTTTGTTGTATACTTTTCATTTCGTCAGAAATATGTAGCCGTTTTGAAAACGTACCTATAGCCTTTAATTCAGTTATCCGATATGTGTTTAATTTAAGACGTTTCGACCATGTGTCACACCTGACTAATAAAATACTTGATCTTAACTTAACCACTTGGATAGATTTAAGAACCTTGGTATACCTTATTAAATTTGTGACGACCCAAGAACCGATTTACCATTACCGCAAACTTAACCCTGCATCGCAAAGAACTAACAACTATTTATGCCTTCGAACTCAAAAGCTTTGCTCTCAGAGGTAGTTCAGTTAGTAGTTACTAGTAGTAGTAGTTATCACTGCAATCCGCTTATGGAACGGTCTTCCTCATCAACTTAAGGAGCGCAGCTAAATTTCAAAATAAAACGAGAAGGAACGTGTGAGTCGTTTCTGGGGACACGACTCTACTTATACCCGTACTCAGTCAGTATATACATACACTTTTGAGCTTATGATTTTTTAGAATTTTAGAAAAAAAAAAAAAATTTTACATTTTACATTTTTTTGCTACATATGCTATCTACATCTACATATAAAATGTCTATTATACATCTAACATGTAGATTGTACATGTTCCATTCATATTCTACATCTCCACCGCTAGGGGTTGCTCGCGCACTGAACGCGGCAGAGTGTGCGAGCGAGAAGGAAAAATGTGTTGTCTCGGCGGGAGGGGGAGGGGAAGCAACTGAAAATTAATTTCTTCATTCTGGCTATAATTATGATCCGATCTGATTCAGATTCGGCAGTCTGGTAGATATGGTCATTCTCTACGATACTGCGTTTTTAGTTTTATCGTTTCTTTAAAATTGTGCCTGCCACAGATTTTCGTCCTTTGTGGGGGCGGAAGGAGGCGGGGCGAAATTTTGAAATACACTTGTAGCAGTGTGATATCACATGAGTCTGGAAACCAAATTTGGTTGCCCTAGCTCTTATAGTCTCTGAGATCTAGGCGCTCATCGAGACAGACAGACAGACAGACAGACGGACAGACAGACATGGCTATATCGACTCGGATATTGATGCTGATCAAGAATATATATACTTTATGGGGTCGGAAACGTTTCCTTCTCTGCGTTACACACATCCACTTTTACCACAAATCTAATATACCCCTTAACTCTTTTTTGAGTACGGGTATAATAAAAAACTTAGAATTAAGTAAAATAAATAAACTCAACATTAATAATAAACATAAAAATAAATGTAGGAAAGAAAAAAAAAATCAAAAAGTAAATAAAACAAAAACAACAAAGTTAACAAAAACGAGAAGGAACGTGTGAGTCGCTTCTGGAGACGCGACTCTACTTATACCCGTACTCAGTCAGTATATACATTTTTGAGCTTATGATTTTGTAGAATTTAAAAATTAAAAAAAAAAATTTTACATTTTAAATTTTTTTGCTACATCTGTTATCTACATCTACAGTTGTGTTCAATGAAATAGTAGTGCCGCACCTCACTACTTTCAAAACTCTTTTTGAGATATTTCCAGTTATCCAAATTGAACAAATGATACCTTTTTAAATAGACTGGACTGTTAGCATTAGAAAACTGAAGAAATATCAATACATTTGAATTCCATTTTCTTGTTTAACATGACATAAGCCGAATACCCATGAAATTTGCTGTTCAATGAAATAGTAGTGTTTTTTTAGAACATTGAAAAAAACAACGAATCTCAAATAAAAACATATATTTCATGATCTTCATGTTTCTTGAGCTTTAATATTTAGTTTTTAATCAAGTTGGTTTTCATTTCGAACTTGCACCGGCCGAACATGAGTCATTAATCTTTTGCCAACGCTTCAATAGGATTTGAGCCAATAATCCATGAACCACTTGATAAAACTTGGCTCTGGTTGACGAATTTGAAGTTGCAACAATGTATTTGGTATTCTCCCATAAGATTTCGATGAGATTTATATCCAGTTGGACAGTTGGCCATGGCAAAACATCGATCCGTTCCGATAACAATTAATTCCTAGCGAGCTTTTATGAGTGTTTCAAGTCATTATCAGGTTAAAATATCCTTTTAGCAGGAATTTTTCAACTGTAATATGAATGTAATTTATTCTAAAGTATGCCTACATTCACAGTTATGCTCAAACCCATACTATACTCAAACGCCAGGCCAGAAAGTACTAGCTCATATGAGCTGGGCCCCATAAGGCTTAGCCTAGCATGCCCAATGCTATATTTTTCATGATTTTAAGTGGTCATCGGATTTCTGTGAATGTCAAACATATTCTTTTGAGTCTATCTTACCAAATAATACAACTTTACTATCATTAGTCCAAAGTATTTTTGTCACTGTGACACAGGCCATTCCACATGCGTTTTTCCAAACTGAAGTCGTGCACCTATGTACTCTCAGATCCAAACGCGGATCTTTCTGGGACTTCTTGCATTCAAATAATGTATAATAGACCGTCTAAGAACTGTCACATCACTGACAGAGCGATTTAAAATTTGTTTCATAATTTTTGAGGATATTAAAGGCCTGGTCTTGCCTTCGACCATCGCCGACCATCCTCTAAAAAATAAGTTTTTCGCATACAAAATCGATTTCCAGTCTACTTCTTTTAGTTAATTGGGTTAAATACAGTAGTGAGAGTGCCTACAACTTAGTTTTCAATCCCATTATACCTCCCCTTAAGTTTTTAGTCTAAATCTTAGATCTCCTCTTCTGGACGGAGCAATGATTTCTTCAACGCTTCAAAATCAAAAGTACCGCTATGTCCAAAACTTTCTTTCATCAAATTATTCAATAATCAAATTGAGCTTACGGGTGGTGACTTATTTAAATTAATTTGCTTTGTTTTTTCATTTTTAAAAATTAATTTATCCCAGCACTACTATTTCATTGAACAGCAGATATCATTGGTAGTTGTCTAAAGTCATGAAAAACAAGAAGATGGAATGCAAATGTAACAGGGTTTCTTCCAGTTTGTAATGTTTACATTCCAGGCTTTCCGTAAAGGTATCACTTGTTCAATTTGAAGGACTAGAAATATCTCAAAAAGAGTTTTGAAAGTAGTAAGGTGCGGCACTACTATTTCATTGAACACAACTGTACATCTACAATGTATATTCCACATCTAACATGTAGATTGTACATGTACCATTTTTATTCTACATCTCCACCGCTAGGGGTTGCTCGCGCACTGAACGCGGCAGAGTGTGCGAGCGAGAAAAAGAATGAGTAGCGTCAGCAGCGCTGGACAAGGAGAGGGAACCAACAGACAATTAATTTCTTCATTCTGGCTATAATTATGATCCGATCTGATTCAGATTCGGCAGTCTGGTAGATATGGGCATTCTCTACGATACTGCGTTTTTAGTTTTATCGTATCTTTAAAAATGTGCCTGCCACAGATTTGAGTGGAAACCAAATTTGGTTGCCCTAGCTCTTATAGTCTCTGAGATCTGCTGATGATCAGCATCAATAGCCGAGTCGATTTTCAGATGCTTCCCCTGCCCCCTCCAGACGACGACAACACAACTCATTTTCCATCTCGCTCGCACACTCTGCCGCGTTCAGTGCGCGAGCAACCCCTAGCGGAGGAGATGTAGAATCTAAATGGTACATGTATAATCTACATGTTAGATGTAGAATAGACATTGTATATGTAGATGTAGATAGCAGATGTAGCAAAAAAATGTAATATGTAAAATTTTTTTTTTTCTAAAATTCTAAAAAATCATAAGCTGTATATACTGACTGAGTACGGGTATAAGTAGAGTCGTGTCCCCAGAAACGACTCACACGTTCCTTCTCGTTTTAGATATATTTTTTAAAAACAATAAAGATTGACAAAAAATTTCTTTTCGAAAGACTAAAACTTTTCACTTCAATTTTAAAATTTCCGCGTCAGCTCCGAAATAACGTGTCCGAAAAGGAAATTTCCTAAGACCCTGTATATCATGCGGATTTTTCGGGGGATTTAGTCAACCTTTTGAGTCAAAAATTCTTATATATTCTTTGGCACCCCCGGATTAATTAATAGAAAAATTTGTGTATTTAGAAAATATTTTGTTTGCAAAATATATACGAACCTGGGAATGCCATTGTTTGGAACCTCAAGGTTGCCACCGTCAGTGCGACTACCATGTAATTGGTCATTTTTTGATGGCCCTGACACCATTCCCCCCGCGACAGTAACATTTCCAGCATCAGTGCGATTGCCAGCAGCAATGACATTAGATGGCTTATGGTTTCCATCAAAATCACCGTTAGATCCAGGTACGGGAATGCTAGATCCTACTGCGGGACTTGAAGTACCACTTGTTAGGGGAATGCCAACCGCAGGTTTAGGTGGTACTGCATGTCGGCCTTTAGTTGACACATTTACAATGGGATCTTCTTCGCCCTCCTCTTCGCTAGAACTAGGATCAATCATGATACGAAAGAAAGTCGGTGCGTCAGGCGTTGTACTCAAACCTGTAATTTAGATTTTTTAAATAAAAATGTAACGGTTAGTTGGATTGGTAGAAATTTGTATTATAACATTAAATATATACATATATCGAGTGAGTGTCCCTAATATTATTATTTCTTATACTAGTCACTAGTCAACACTAGAATTAGGCAATAGATTCTTATAGATTTCGGGGTTTACAATTTTTTAACGAATTATGTTTTTTTTTATGGTGTGGTTTTTAAAGTCAAAATTTCGAGAAAAAAAATACCGCAAAGTTGAAATTTGAATTTGAAAGCTTAATATCTTCCAGGCGTTAAGCTGCAGATACAAAGTGTCTGGGTACGATTTATAGTTGCATTTGTCAGCTTTTCAGAACTGAAAAGTTTTTGCAACCAGATATAAGATACTTAAGTTATGTGAAAAATAATAGCACTAATTTCAGGTAAAATTAGTTTTCAGTCGTTTTGGTCAAACGGCTGCAAGTTCACCGTTTATCCATAGATTTTGATGAGCAATACCTTAGACGTCGCCTAATTAATGCGTCTATCTAAAAACAAAAATGTTGGCCAAGAATTATTTTTTTTTTTAACTTTTCCCGAGTTTTTAAAATCAAAATTTCGAAAAAAAAAAAATACCGCAAAAAATAATGAATAATGAAATGAAAATAGAAGCACAACCTCTGAAAAAAATACCAGATTTTAAAAATTCTTTAAAAAAAATTACACCATAAAAAAAATAATAAAGTACTACAAAAATTTTTAAATCCCGAAATCTATCAGAAAAAGTCATTTTGGTTCACAGCCTAAATAAAAAGTTCGAGTAGTGTAATTATCGAACCTGCAAGGGTAGCAGTTATCTTTATTCTGCCTGTAAAATCCTTCCGATTGCAACGATTGTTAATATGTGTTAATTTATGACCACGTATCAAATTTGTGGATCCCACAGAACTTCAGAATTCTAGGAGGCCAAAGGGATTCAATATTTAAAAAAAAATATGTACGGGAGATGTCCCGGCTGTGGACATAGTTTTGTTTTTGCCTCATAACTTTTGACCAATTGCATAATATACAAACGCCCCAATTTAAAGCTTAAGGTAATATCTAACTATTCAGAAAAATTTTATCAAGAATTTAGAGTATTTTTTTCGAGAAAAAAAATATAGACCCTGTTGTGGACACCCCTGAAAAATCCGCTTAAAATTAAAAAATATGAAAGAAAATCACCACAAATAACGAGAAATTATTTATTTTAAGAGCCACTGGCATAAAGAACAAGAAGGATGACACTTTTTAACATCAATCATCGGAATCAGAGTCGCAATGCTTGCAAGTGAAATTACTGGCACGCATATTAGCGCACTTCATATGCACCGGACCATTTATTGCCATTTATTGCAATCGACGGAATAAGCGGCGGTCAATTTTCATAACAGAAGGTGCAGACAGATGATGCAAAAATCCTGATCATCATCCGAAAGAGGGGTGTCACAGTCCCCGGTCCACAACAGAGACCTCTCTCCTACTTACAGGGTGGCTAATAAAAACTGTCGCACTTGATTAAAGCGATTCTACTCAAAAACAAATATACTCAGACATGCAGCCATTATGAATTCTTATTCTTACGTTTATTGTGAATTGATTCCACATAGATATTTTTTGACCAGTTCATATTTAAAGCTGATGAAACAAAACTATCCTTTGTTCAGAATTTACATTGCAAGGCAAAAAAATATCCTAATTTAATCCTAATCGTAGGATCTATCACTCTATATAGGTTCAAGGCAACTAGAAGAGTTGAAATATTCCACATAGCAGATCAAAAATTTACCGTTACAAACACTGAGAGGATAAAAGTATCTAGAATCAAATATGGACACATTTTTTTAAAGTTTTTTGAAGAAAAATTGTTAAAAAAGCTAAATTTGAGCCGTATGACCTTAAGAAATTGAATTCAAAATTAGCTTAGGATGAAAGCTTACAAAAACAAGTATTCAAAGTCACATTGAGGGTAAAAAAAATATGCTTCTGTGGCACCCAACACGATAAAGACAAGGAGTTTTTTATGCTGCAGAGAAACCACAGATCAGAAAATGATAAGATTTATCCGAAAAGCATGGTAAATATTCTAACAAATAAGAAAGCAATTGAGAGGTATCAAAATATGATATCAGTTATTTTTTCGGGGCCATATACGTTATATGAAAAACACATTATACATGTTTTTCAAAAGCATCTCTTTTTTTGTTTTGGAACTTTTGGGAATATTTAAAAATCTATAAAACATGAGTTGCAGTAATTCAACCGCCAATTAAAAAAAAAAAAAAAATGGTCTACGAAATCCCCGATAAGGGGCCGTGCCGCTTGCATCTATATTTTTAAACGCATAAAGCTATTACGTATAGCTAACGGGGAAAGACCGAAAATTAAAAATTTGTAACCAAAGAATATTTATTAAAATACAAAAATAAAACGAGAGGAAACGTTGTGAGTCGCTTCGGTGGTACTTTCGGTACTTTTATAACCGTACTCAGTCAGTACGTGGATTTTTTTAATATTTAAAAAATGTAAACAGTTCTTTGCTATATTTATATGTCGGATCATAATAATATTCCCAGTGTATTTTGGTCTGTCGGTTGCCTACGAATCCCCTTTTTGATCGTTTTTGATACTTTTTTTTTGATACTTCTCTCTTTGTCGTATGTCTCATCTGCTTGGTCGAGTTGCACTTGTTTCTATGTCGGCCCAGGTGTTCAAGAGCGAGTGTGGAACTCGCTCAGAGAGGATCAAAGGAGCGAGAGAAAGTGAGCGTACGTCGAGCGTGTTCCTCTGCGGTAGTGAGTGTAAGGGGGGCACATATAGAGACCAGTGGAAATTGCGTGACGAGCAATAATTGTCTCAGAGCTCTGGTTTGCAATACCGAGAATGTAGATTCTCAGTGTGTAAGCGAGAGAGAGAATGAGTAGCGGCTGCTGCGCTGAAAGGGGGTGGGTAGCCACTGAAAATTAATTTCTTCTTTCTGGCTATAATAATGGTAGTCTTCTACGATACTGCGTTTGTCGTTTTCTCGTTTCTTTAAAGTTGTGGAAGCCACAGATAACACTAGTCAACACGACGCCTAATTAATGCGTCTTTCTAAAAGTAAATATGTTGGCCAAGAATTTTTTTTTCCGACACTTCCTGAGTTTTTAAAGTCCAATTTTCAATGAAAAAAAAAAAAATTATGAAATTTGAATTTGCAAGCTTAATATCTTCCAGGCGTTAAGCTGCAGCTACAAAGTCTGGGTCGGATTTATAGCTGCATGTTAAAATATGGAGCACTAACCACTAACCACTAAAAACCATGGAAAAAATACCAGATTTTAAAAATTCTTTAAAAAATAATTAAACCAATGAAAAAAAGTATTACTACAAAAATGTTTAAATCCCGAAATCTATCAGAAAAAGTAATTTTGGTCCACAGCGGAAAGAAAAAGTTTATATTTGTCGAGTAGTGTAATCGTCCTTTGTTGGGGCTGAAGGGGGCGGGGTGAAATTTTGAAATACGCTTGGAACAACAAAATTCCAACAAAATTTGGTTCCTCTAACTCTTACAGTCTCTAAGAACTAGACGCTCATCAAGACGGACAGACGGACAGACAGCCATGGCTATACCGACTCGGCTGTTTAAGAATTTATATACTTTACGGGGTCGGAAATGCTTCCTTTTTTGCGATACATAAATCTACTTCGTTCCAAAAAAAAAAATCGATTTGTTACCTTGTGCTATTTACATTAGGTGGCAACGTTCAGTGGTAGTGTGTGTGGATAAATTTCCCTTTATAAAATTTAAAATTCTACGAGTATATACGAGGGCGGTCCCAGAAATAGCCGACCTAACCACTAAAACACAGATATTTTGAATTTTTTATTTTTCTTTCTTCTTCAACATAGTATCCTTTAAGCTCTATATGCCTTTTCCAGAATTTTTCCCATTTTTGTATCTTTTTAAAAAATTATGATTTGTTAAGGTCTTCAAAATAGTCATTTTTTAGTGTGATGACTTCATCATTGGACTTCAAATCGCTTTCCGCTGAGCCACTTTTTCAAGTTTGGAAACAAGAAAAAGCCACTAAAGACTAAATCCAGAGAATAGGGTGGGTGAGGGATCAATTTGTAGAATAATTCATCGATTTTCGCAATGGAAACTGCACCCTTGCATTGATTTGGTGGGAAAGCCAAATGCTGTCGCTTATATTTCAAATCCTCATTAAATCGATCCAATAAGTTGGCATAATATTCGCCATAGCCTGTTTTCCCCTTTCTAAAGGTAATCAATGTGGTTAATACGGCGAGAATTCCAAAAAAACGTTTGCCATGACTTTATTGGCTAAAAAACCCTTCCATCTTTGCAGCTTGAACGACCTCGCTTAAGCTAGCTATTATTATCAGCTATTATTAGACACCCTGTATATACTGACTGAGTTACATTGGGAGTTCGGTAACACTAGTCAACACGACAATTAGGCTGTGGCCCAAAATGACTTTTTCTTATAGATTTCGGGGTTTAAAATTTTTTAACGAATTATGCTTTTTTATGTAGTTTTTTTTTAAAGGAATTTTTTAAAATCTGGTATTTTTTTGATGTTTTTTTTTCAGAGGTAGTGTTTTTATTTTTCACATAGCTTCAGTATCTTATATCTGGTGGCATAGAACTTTGCAGTTCTGAAAAGCTGGCAAATGCAGGTATAAATTGGACCCAGACATTTTGTATCTGCAGCTTAACGTCTGAAAAAAAAACAGATTTTTAAAATTCTTTAAAAAAAAATTTACACCATAAAAAAAATAAAGTACTACAAAAATTTGTAAATCCCGAAATCGATCAGAAAAAGTCATTTTGGTTCACAGCCTAAATAAAAAGTTCAATTTTGTTGAGTAGCGTAATACCAGATTTTAGAAATTCTTTAAAAAAAATTACACCATAAAAAACAAAAAAAAAGTACTACAAAAATTTTTAAATCCCGAAATCTATCAGAAAAAGTCATTTTTGGTTCACAGCCTAAATAAAAAGTTCAATTTTGTTGAATAGTGTAATTAGAGCCCCAACAAATTAGAACATTCCAGAAATTAGAACCGGACATTTCATTGCATTGGCGACTCTGAAATTAGAGCCTGTGATGCGCCTGTGGAAATTTGTATTAGTTAATGACTAAAGGACAAAATAAACATTAAAATTAAAAAATTTAAAATAGCTAAATTAACTTTTTATATGTTTAATTAACTATATTTTAATAAGTTAGGTTAGGTTTTGTATAAAAATAAAACTTGATCAATTTTTTTTAATGTAGTTTTATCATTTTCTGAAAAAAAAAGTCCAGATATTAGAACTTTTTAGAAATTAGAAACACCCCAGAAACCAATGTGGTTATAATTTCCGAACTTCCACTGTACTGTGTATAACGTTCCCCCTCGTTTTGTCCTGTGTCAGTAATCAGAACATTTAATTATAATGTTTAATCGAAGGAAGCTTTTCCTGAATTCAGTTACACCTGCATGGTTTAGTTAAATTTTGTAGGTATGTTTGTTTTGTAGGTATGTATTTCTTATAAAATTAAAAATTGGTTTTTATTTGAATGTATTTGGAATGAATGAATAAATAATGAAAATACTTTACCATAGCTAATATTTTTGTTGATAAAATTGACTATTTGTGGTTTGGGAATGTAAATGATAATTTTCAAATATTTTCATATGCTGCCATCCACATTTCATACTTTAATATACTTAATGCTTGGTTCTTGTTAATTTTTATAACCAATATAATTTTTTAGTAACGGAATAAAACAAAGGTACATATCCATATATATGTACATATATGTATATACATTTTTATATATTTACATACATGTATGGATTTTTGTCACCCTTAAACACGACTTGTCAAGCAATTTTAAATACAGAAATAGTTCAATATTTTTAAAATCTTACATCCTATTGTTGCAACATTTTAGACCTGATATTCACTGAATGGGTGTGTTACGAAATTATGTTTAATTCACGTACATATGTACTCATTGTTTGTATGTATTGAACGATTGTAAGCAAGGGCGAATAGGGTGGTAAGGCACACACACTTCACGATACGCTACTGTCAACATATAATTTATCACTTCATGATTTATAATTGTAGACATATGTATATATACTTTTCTTTCGGAAATTAACAAAACGTTTAAACCTTAAACAAGTTGGCATTTAATATATACAATCACCGTACATATTAAATTTCAAAATACTCGGATTTTCTTTTAGTAAAGAATAATCTTTAAACGGAGAACATTTTTTTTAATTTTTGGGTGCAACGGCACATAAGTAAGGTTTCATGCAAACATATCGATATATCGTTAAAAATTAAATAAGACATGTAGGGTATTCCTGAAACAGATTTGGATTTCTTACATTTTAATCACCGTGGACATTATTTATATATTTTAATGAATTCAGTTACGTCAGCATAATTTAGTTCATTTGATGGTAAAATTTTGTTTTATTTTGTAAATACATATGTATTTTTTATTCATTATTCTATGTATGTATGTATTAATGGTATGGTATGTAACACATTTCATACAAACAATATGAAATATAAAATAGATATTTATTTACTCCCAGTTCATGAAGTTTATCCGGCTCAAAAAGTTCTGTATTGACGTGGGGATACTGACGATATTTCACAGCAGCATTGTTGTCGGTGCCCTCTATGAAATTTTCGTTTTTGTGCCACCCTATATTAAACCATTCAGCAATCTTTGCTTGAAAATTATGTATACAAACGTAACTTGAAAGAAACAATATTAACTAATAATATTAAGCATAACTATATTACTACTACATTTGTCAAAAAAGAATCGGAAACTCTTTAATTCAATATCGCTTGTTAGTCCCATTTTTTTTTGCAAATGTCATTTTACGTTTGTCTATATACGTGTGTGGAATGTATTTAAAATAATCGGAATGTACATGCATTGAATAAAATATCCAAGCTGAAACCACATTCTTCGGGACTGCACTCTTGCATTTGGGACCACTCATAATGGATACATAAAATGGTTGGGGTCTTTGTAGGTACTTACTTACATACATATATACATATGTTCCGTTTACAAAGAAAACAAACTAGCCTCAAACTGAATAAAGTTATATTTTTCTTTTCGTATTTCAGAGCACACTCAGTAGAAATTATATATATGTATGGAGTCTGGATTGCCCCGAAATAGTTTAAGACGTGAGCAACTAGCTGAACATATTTTTGTAAATGTTGAAGCTGAATAAGAATGATTGGATGCCACGGAAAGGCTTTCATTGAAAAACGGCAGAACCAAAACGGATAAGGTTGCAAAAAACTTGATAATTTGTTAACCAATGCGTCAACAAACAATATACGCAAGCTATCCGATTTCAAAGTCGTCTTATGCTTTCTTCAATACTGCATTACCATTAAAATCTTTTAAACGAGGCACTACTTCCAAGGTGCGACATTGAAAACAGGCCCTTGTGGTAGAAATAGGCACATCAAATCCAATAATATATTACCACTCCCGGTTTGTATTATTATATCTGTGATCGGAAATACGGAGTCTCGAGAAGTTTCATATTTTACCTATTAATTTAACAAATTATTAGATTTCGTGAAAAAATCCTTCCTATTTAAGGGTGCGTCGACCTCGAACGTACCTAAAGACAATCCCAAATTGCCGTTCCTCAAAATTTTCAAAAAACTTCATATTGGCCTTTTTGGTCTTAAAGAAAGAATGCCGAATATTTGCCTAGTGTAATGCAGATATAGAAATTGCTATTGATTTATCAAGCAAAACATTCCGTAAAAAATGTTGAACTCGTTCCAATGACACTTAAAAAATGGCTTATTAACATTAAACAAAATATATTTAATGCCTAAATCAAAACTATCCATTGGCTAACATTTGCATTCAGTAGTGAGAAACTAGTAATGCCAATATTTAATGAAGCAAATCTGATAATACCATATCTTTAATATCGCCTGAGGGTATAGATTTGTTATACAAATTCCTGGCAATGTCTTAAGAGAGAAAAATTCTTCATATGCATAAACGAAGCCCTGAAAAATGAAAATTTAATATCAGCTGTATTGAATAGTTTGGCAAACAACGAACAATGTGCAACTGAAACTGTTCATCTCCTACTCAGTTAGACCGCACAAGTCGGTCCATTTCTGTGTTTTAGCTTCAGTAAAACTAAGTCCACTTATAATCATAACACGAACAGGTTGAAATAATAACGGAAATTCTGATACAAAAATACAAATATATTCGCCACTATGGTTGGTACACAACAAAAAAGTAGTCATATTCAATTATCTGGAACGAATGCAAAACGTGATGCCAACACTTTTCCCGGGAAAAGCGACATAAAAGCAGCGCCCGTTGTACCTCAAATCGGAAAAGCATCTTCACCTACAATATCAATACCAACACCTCAGCCCAAAGTCAAGATGATCAATCAAAATCCGAAACAGGCTGGGATCACTCATACCAATTCACATAATTTAAGCCATCACTCTTGTCACGGAAACATGGTGCAATATTATAGTAGTAGCTATGGATCACCGGGAATTTTTCATGATAGTAAAAAAGAATTGCAACCCACAGAGAAACTCGCCAATTATACTGGAGATGACAAAAATATACAACGTAGTTTAACCATAGATGGATGCGAAATTTTAGGACCCATTCAAGGTGACTATATATGTGCATATTTATATTGAAAATAAAAAAAACATGCATTTTATAATATATTTTAGCAATCTCTCTGCCTAATGTTACAGCAGTCTCGCCAAAACCCGATTTTATTGCTGGCCTAATTTCCAAAGATTTGCCTTGCAGGGGTGCTATTCTACCCAATTATAAATTACAATCGGAATCAGAAACCCTCGATTTATTAAAGGAAAAAGCTCAACCTGTCATAGAAAACGACTCTTTCACCTTTCATGAGCAAATAATTATGTCTGGCCAACAAAAAAGTGCATTACAAGAAAAACCAAAAGTACTCGTTGTTTCCCCACAACAAGTAATGATATTGTACATGCATAAATTAACGCCCTATGAGCGAACTGAAATACTCGCGTATCCACAGATTTATTTTATTGGTGCTAATGCAAAGAAACGCCCTGGAGTGTACGGACCAAACAATTCGGACTATGATAATGAACAAGGAGCTTATATTCATATACCGCACGATCACGTAGCGTACCGATATGAAATGCTCAAGATAATTGGCAAGGGCAGTTTCGGTCAGGTGATAAAGGCCTATGATCATAAGACTCACGAGCATGTTGCCTTAAAAATAGTGCGCAATGAGAAGCGGTTTCATCGGCAGGCACAAGAGGAAATTCGAATTCTTCATCATTTGCGTCGTCACGATAAATATAATACTATGAACATCATACACATGTTTGACTACTTTACATTTCGTAATCACACTTGCATAACATTTGAGCTTCTCAGCATTAACCTTTATGAATTGATTAAAAAAAATGGATTTAAGGGCTTCAGCCTACAGCTTGTGCGAAAATTTGCACATTCGCTACTCCAATGCTTGGATGCACTATACAAAAATGAGATTATACATTGTGATATGAAACCAGAAAATGTGCTTTTGAAACAACAAGGTCGTTCTGGTATTAAGGTAAGCCTATATATATATCTATATATATTTAAAATCTCGTGCCACGGTCCCAAACAGCTAAACCGATTCTTATGACATTTTTGGTGTATATTAAGTAGGTCTGTGAATAGGTCGTGCAGCAAGACGCAAGTTTTTTTTCAGGGTTTATTATGTAGGTTTATTGTATCAATTATCACAGACAATAAAGTAAAATTACTTAACTGTTACTGTTGATTAGCAACTTTTGTTAAGGGTCAATGACAATTTCTATTTACAATTTACTATTTTAAGTTAAATGCGAGACCAACGGACGAAAACGGTGATTGTGCAACAATAATTTATTTGTTCCTGGTGGCCAAGTCGGACGGATGGATGCCGTTTAACCTTCGCCTGGTTCTGCTCCTTACCAATCTTCTAGCGAGGACGTTCGAGTGGCTCTTTAGTTTGGTGAAGTATCTTGCGGCTTGTTCATTAATATTGTCACCGACTGAGAGGACTCCAAGGCGATGTCTCTATTACGGACATACCATTCAGCACCTTTCTAGCCTTGCTTTCTAAGGCGCTTCTGATTATCCTTGTGTGGTTGCCAAAGGTCAGGCGGGTGTCCAGCATAATTCGCAGGTACTTATGTTCCTTCCGTTGCTCCAACAGCTCGCCATCAAGAAATACCCCAGGGCACGTTCCTTTCCTAAGCGTGTGTGTCACTACCACACACTTCTCAGGGTTCACACTGATATTCCACCTACATGCCCAGTTCTCAAACCTTTAAAGGTACCGCTGGAGGTTTTCCGTGGCGTCGTAAATGCAGTTGTCCTTTGACAAGATTGCCGTGTCGTCTGCAAATGTGGCAAGTTTCACATCGATTGGCTGGAACGTATTGTCAACACTATTCTTAGGCATGTCGTGCGTGAAAAGGCTGTACAGCGTTGGCCCTAGCACGCTGCCTTGCGGGACTCCGGCTTCAATCACCTTCACCGTGGAAACTGCTCCGCTCTGTCCAACTTGGAACGTTCTGGGGGTTTATCAGGGGTTTTATCTTCGCAAGTAATCCGATGTGCCAAACTCTGTCGAACAAGGAACAAAACCAAATTTTTCTTAAAGATTTGGGGCTTAGGAATGGTTTGATGATATTTTTTTTCTATGGCAGAACTTTGGGATCAAAGCAAACGAAAAAGGGTTGTAAATTTGGTACCTGATCGCGATCCCAATTCCCAATTGGCAGTTGGGCCCGCAACCTTCCAAAAGGTATTTTTTGTTACATTTTTAATTTTTTAGGCTTGGTTAACGAATTTTAGCTCCAAAGTCTCTCCATAGATGTTAATGAGCGATACCTTAAACGACGCCAAATTAATGCACCTATACACCAAAAAATAGAGGACATAGGATATAATTTTTTTTCGACTATTCCTGAGTTTTTAAAGTCAAAATTTCGTAAAAAATAACGCACTAAAATCATCATTTTTGCAAATCACAAAGTGTTTGGGCTTAACTTCTAGCTGTTTTGATTATCTTTTCAAAATAGGAAAGTTCTTTGCAACCAGACGTAACCGCTACCTCTGAAAAAAGCTTAAACAAAATACCAGACTTCAAAAATTCTTCAAAAAAAATTTCTACCATAGAAAAAAAACCATAATTCTTTAAAAATATTTTAAAGCCCCATATCTGTCAGATAAAGTCGGGTTGGATCCTTGAGGAAAAAAAAGTTCGATTTTGTCGGGTAGTGTAATCTGCAAAGAATGCAGCGCTCCAGGAGCTTCCCAAAAGTGGGGAGCAGGCTGATTGGCCTGTAATTGGCCAGGTCGTCCGGGGATTTTCCGGGTTTATGCAGCATGACAACCTGCGCGGCTTTCCATGCTTTGGGGAAGTGTCCCAACCTCAGCGTTGCATTCAGTATTTGGAACAGGTACAAAAGCGCTCTGAGTGGCAGCACATTTGTCACTGTTATCTATATTGTCCTTTCCTGGGGCCTTTTTATCTTTGAGCATCTTATCTTTGTCTTTAGTACCCGGTGGCCCCAATCACACTCCAGGAACTAAAGACGCAAGGTGAAACAAACATGCGAAATAGTATAACATAAAGAACAGGCGAACGAATTCAGGAAGATAACTAAACTGTGCGTGTGGGTATGTCGCAATTCAAATTCAAACATGTGTCCTATGGTAAGTGTTGCGCATCAGGAAAAAGTGAAACTGCCTGAAATTGAAACACAACCAAAGAACCATTTGCTTTCTGATCGGCACGGAACCAGATTCAAAACTGTTCCTGTTCTGTTGAAGTCCATTCTCTAAAGCAGAAGAGTTTGCCGGGCCAGCTATGAAAAATTTAAAAATAGTATTTTTTGTCTAATTTTTTCCTTTTTGAGGTTTGGTTAACTAATTTTAGCTCCACCGTCTCTCCATAGATTTTAATGAACAATACCTTAAACGACGCCTAATTAATGCGTCTATCTAAAATGCATGTCAAGAATTATTTTTCGACTTTTCCCGAGTTTTTAAAGTCAAAATTTCGGGGAAAAATACCGCAAAAAAATGATGAAATTTGAATTTGAAAGATTGATATCTTCCAGGCGTAAAGCTGCAGCTACAAAGTGTCCGGGTCGGATTTATAGCTGCAATTGTCAGTTTTTTAGAACTGCAAAGTTCTATGCAACCAGATATAAGATACTTAAGTTATTTGAAGCACTACCTCTGATAAAAAAACAATAAAAAAAATACCAGATTTTTAAAAATTCTCTAAAAAAAAACTAAACCATAAAAAAAACCAGAATTCGTTAGAAAAATGTAAACCCCGAAATCTATAAGAAAAAGTAATTTTGGGCCACAGCGTAAATGTCGTGTTAACTTTAAACTGCGATTTTAGTGGTTTTTTTCATTAAGTATTGCTTTGATTTAGCTGTCAGTGTGTTTTGTGACATAACATGTTAAATATATTTTCAAAGTAGTGCCTTGATTTAGTTGTCAGTGTTGATTTGTGATATAATCTTGATCTAATATATTTCTGTGTGTTTATAACGTTTACTTGTGAATTTGGTTATTTTGTAATTGTGCTAAAGTGAACGAGAAGGAACGTGCGAGTTGCTTCTGGGGACGCGACTCTACTTATACCCGTACTCAGTCAGTATATACATTTTTGAGCATATGACTTTTAAGAATTAAAAAAACATTTTACATTTTACATTTTTTTGCTACATCTGATATCTACATCTACAATGTATATTATACATCTAACATGTAGATTTTACATGTTCCATTTAGAATCTACATCTCCTCCGCTAGGGGTTGCTCGCGCACTGAACGCGGCAGAGTGTGCGAGCGAGAAAGAGATAGGTAGCGTGTCTCTGGCTGGGGAGGCGGGGAAAGCAACTGAAAATTAAATTTCTTCATTCTGGCTATAATTTTATCGTATCTTTAAAAATGTGCCTGCTACAGATTTTCGCTATTATGTGGTGGCGGAAGGGGGCGGGGCGAAATTTTGAAATACACTTGCAGCAGTGTGGTATCACATGAGCCTGGAAACCAAATTTGGTTGCCCTAGCTCTTATAGTCTCTGAGATCTAGGCACTCAACAAGACGGACAGACAGACAGACGGACAGAAAGACATGGCTATATCGACTCGGCTATTGATGCTGATCAATAATATGTATACTTTATGGGGTTCGGAAACGTTTCCTTATCTGCGTTACACACATCCACTTTTACCACAAATCTAATATACCCCTTAACTCTTTTTTGAGTACGGGTATAAAAATGCCAGCAAGACGCAAGGGGGCCCAGTTCCACCGGACAAACCATGCAACATTAATGCGACATAATAGAGCTGAAAAGCAGACTAACAAGTCGAAGAAGATAACGAAATTGTGCTTGAGGGCATATCGCAATTGAGTGATTCTCAATCACAAGATGTATGAAATGTATGGTATGAGACGTGTGCGGCCGCCGCTGGGGCCGCATCATGTTGCAATCTTTAGAGTGGTGCTAAAATATATTAGGCCAAACACACTGCATGAATACACTACAATCCGCTTCGTTCCTTCGTATCGCTTTCGCATACGAGCCGGATATTGAATATTCCGCACATCAGAAACTGTTAATTAGTGCTATGGACAAGGAATGTCCCCATTGTCAAGTATAAGTCAAGTGGTATGTGTTGCGCATCAGGAAAAGTACAACTACCTGAAATTGAGACACCACCGGAACAGCTTGCTCATAGGCACGGATCCAGATTCAAACATCTTTCTGAAGTCAATTCGAAAATTCAATTTATGCTTCCAAATTACATCGTTCGGAGCAACAGAAATAGTTAAATGGTCAACAATACAATTCCACATTTAAAATCAAAGGACAATTTTACCACAAAGTAGGATCTTTGATGCCAATGCCAAACGAAGCACATGAGTTTTTACAAATATACTTCATGGGTGGTGAGGACATAAATCGCGCACTCAACATTCGCGTAGATGCGCGTAGTTGCGGTTACCATAACCTCATTTCGGTAATAGCCAGGCGCATAGTTGGAGAGGTGTACGAACTACTTAATCATCACAATGAATTATTGAATTATTTACATAATTACACGTGTTCAGTCAAACAAAATGCTGGATGGCAAAAACGTCGATGCATATTATATATTAAAAACAAACAAAACGAGAAGGAACGTGTGAGTCGCTTCTAGGGACGCGACTCTACTTATACCCGTACTCAGTCAGTATATACATTTTTGAGCATATGATTTTTTAGAATTTTAGAATTAAAAAAAAATTTTACATTTTACATTTTTTTGCTACATCTGTTATCTACATCTACATATATTATGTATATTCTACATCTAACATGTAGATTATACATGTACCATTTAGATTCTACATCTCCTCCGTTAGGGGTTGCTCGCGCACTGAACGCGGCAGAGTGTGCGAGCGAGAAAGAGAATCAGAGGCGTCAGGAGCGCTGGAGAAGGAGAAGGAACCAACAGAAAATTAATTTCTTCATTCTGGCTATATTTATGATCCGATCTGATTCAGATTAGGCAATCTGGTAGATATGGGCATTTTCTACGATACTGCGTTTTTAGTTTTATCGTATCTTTAAAAATGTGCTTGCCACAGATTTTCGTTCTTTGTGTGGGCGGAAGGGGGCGGGGCGAAATTTTGAAATACACTTGTAGCAGTGTGATATCACATAAGTCTGGAAACCAAATTTGGTTGCCCTAGCTCTTATAGTCTCTGAGATCTAGGCGCTCAACAAGACGGACAGACAGACAGACAGACAGACATGGCTATATCGACTCGGCTATTGATGCTGATCAAGAATATATATATTTTATGGGGTCGGAAAATTTTCCTTCTCTGCGTTACACACATCCACTTTTACCACAAATCTAATATACCCCTTAACTCTTTTTTGAGTACGGGTATAAAAACAATATTGATAATGGTTGACGTGATAAAAATCAACAACGTAGACATTGATATTGACAATCGTTCTGCAGTTCAGTGCAATCTCTCAAATATATTTTCAAGTATGTGAATAAAGGCAGCGATATGATTGTGTTTCAAACTTTGATATGATGCCACTCGATTAAATGCAAATAATACGAGACTATGTTTTTTATGGATATGAATCAAATGATTCAAATGCAAAACAAAAAAACTTTTTAAGAAAGATCTATAAAATTTTTATTTGTGTTTTATTGGTGTTATATACAGGCAGGCTCCGGATTTAACTTTCACAAAAAAAAAAATGTGATTAACTTTTCAAAACGAAAAGTCGAGCACTCCCGCGAAAAACGCAAGACTTCTGTTTTCAAAACGGCAACAAATTCCTCGCCGAAATGAAAATTATACAACTAAAAAAATCTTAACTGCAAAAGAAAAAAAAAAAGATTGACATTAATTTGACACCATTACCTGGGCTTGAGCTTTTGCCTTATTTATAAATAATTTTTATTTAAGCCAACCTCAAAATTGGATCTGAAAAAATTGTTCAGGTCAAAAAAAAAGTGAATTCATTTTAACAGCTGTGGCAGCCCGATTTGGGTATCGATTTGGCTTTCTGTATGAGCTGGCACTACCGCGTGGGTATAACAGAAGTAAATTTGGCGGTTAACAGTACAAAGAGTAAACAAGTTCAGAAAAGTCGATTCGAGAAAGCCATGCAATGAGAAGAATGACTTTTTGCTGAGAAGTAAAACGCAAAGTGAATGTGTCCGGTGTCCTGCCTAATAATTTTATTTTTGCAATTCGCGTAAATGTGTGTAACAGCCAGTTGTAAGCTTTTCCGATCCCATAAAGTGTATACATACATATGTACATATATTCTTACAAGTATCTTTACCATCTAAACCAATTCCATTTGTATTTTTGTATTTCCAAAAGGTTATTGACTTTGGTTCGTCATGCTTCGAAAATCAACGTATATATACATATATACAATCACGATTTTACCGTGCCCCTGAGGTTATTTTGGGAGCAAAATATGGCAGAGCTATTGACATGTGGTCCCTGGGTTGCATTTTGGCGGAACTATTATCAGGGCACGCACTGTTTCCGGGTGAAAACGAAAGCGACCAACTTGCTTGTATTATTGAAGTTCTCGGCATGCCCAATAAAACTTTACTAGCCACCTCAAAGCGATCCAAAACGTTCTTTAGCCCAAAAGGCTATCCACGTTATTGCACTGTACGCACCATGTCGGATGGAATGGTTGTACTAATTGGTGGCCAGTCGCGTCGAGGAAAGCCACGAGGTCCCCCATGCTCAAAAAGCCTTTCTAAAGCCCTGGATGGATGCAAGGATCCGCTCTTTCTTAACTTTATACGTGGTTGCTTGGAATGGGATGCAGATAAACGATTAACTCCATCGGAGGCTCTCAAGCATCCGTGGCTGCGCCGTCGCCTTCCCAGACCGCCAAGTAGCACAAGCGGCTGTGTTGGAATAAACGGAGCTAGCGTCAGTGGTGATCAGTCACCGGTAACAGGTAGATAGTTAGCTGGCTAACTTTTTTTTACCACTTTGCGCCTGCACGTGCTAATGTCTATATTTTCAGGGCTCAATATAAGTTTGGCCAATGAAACGACTGGATCTTCAACCTCTGCTACATTTGCCTCATTAACAATGGAAAGAGAGAACAGCAATTGCAGCGGTCGAGTAAACCATGGCGGAATTTCTGAAGAAGAATTTAAACGTACAACAAGCCTTAACGGCTGTGACGGATCGTTACCAGCGTCAACAGCACCTATATTAACAGCCGACCTTTTGGCCGATAGTTTTAAAAATACTACTGTTATATCGCCACATTTGTCATCGTCAACGCATTCAGCTGATTCCGGTGGTCTCAGTACAGTCGCTCGCAGTGTCGTTACATCCAGATATCCTCCGTCATCATTATCGTATTTGCCGCACATGAATAATAATGGAACTGAACGTAATATTGAAACTCATAATTAATTGAAACCAAACTAATTCTGCAATATATTTCAGGTTTATCTATTTTTTCTGCTTCGTTAAACAGCTCTGCCCACTCATTAACGCAATTGGAACCAATCACAAACTTAGATGTTTTTACCGTATATTCAGGTTCAACCACACCTAATTTAACAGCGACCGATACGGGTTGTGGTTTTGTTTCAGTTTCGGTTGCAGAAGATATGGACATGGCAGCCTCGGCCTCTTTTGTTAATCTCAGTAACACCTGCGCAGTGGATAAGTCCATCGGTAACAATGAAAATAAAAACTTTTCACAGCACGCTCATAAGTTTAAAGTATCTTCCAAAGATATGTAGCAAATTGTTTGACGATATATAGCTTTTTGCCATCTAAGGGATTGGAAGCAGTACGACTTGTTGTTATCTGATTTATTAACAACACTGCCATAGAAGTGATAAGCTGAAGACGTCTAGATCGTTGGCGCTGATTTGCATTGTACTTGCTTCAAATTGTACATGCACATGCTGCATAGATCTCAAGCATCTCGAAATTATGCACTTGAATTATAAGCAAAAAATATTGCCATTATTTCCTTTAAACTCACTTAACATCTAAAATATACTAGTGTGGGAAATATACAAACTAATTTAAAATGTATAGTACGAGTTTTGAATCAAGTGTGGCAGTGAACTTTGTTAACTATTCTTTGTACTAAGACATCATTAATGATTGCTTTTATACCTTTTTCAGAGGGTAATGTACATTGGTTCATATTTTATATTTTCAATGAACAGATGTAAGCATTACCGACCTTTTATTAAGATGAAAATCTGAGTATTTTGTCAAAAAGATTTTCGTTACTGGTTTCAAATAAAAATTTAGTTTTCAAAACTTTCCAAATTTAAATAAAAATTGAATCAATTTATCATAAAGACGATAGAAATGCAACAATTGATCGAAAAACTATAATTCTTTGTTTATTTAACTATAACCTGACTTAATTGTAGACATCGGTTGACAAAAACGTAAGCGCTTTTGGCTTTAAATATATACAAATCAATAACTCATGCATATTTTTTAATTAAAGTGCCATTAAACATTTTCATAACATTGTACAAATATATTTTTCGGCTTACCATTTTAATAATAAACAATACATTTTTTTTTGCATATTTGATTTTAAATGAGTCAGCTTTGTTGCACAGAAAATTAATTTAATTTACAATATCCAACTTAATCTTACCGTGTGGGAAATATTATATTTTAAAATGCACAACCTATCATCTCCTTTCAGTATTTTTCCTTAAATATTTCAGACTTAACATTTAGGAAAAAGTAAAAAAAAAAAATCGTTTCTTGTGCTTTTACATTCTTTTTGTATAGGTGCGTGCATTAATTAAATGTCGCTTAAGGTAAAAATAATTATATTACAAATTTGTGAAGCCCCATATATCAGAAAAAGTCGGTTTGGTTCATTGAGTAAAAGAGTGTGCAGAGTGCTTTTATTTGTGCAACATACTACGGAGACTAAAAGTAAATAACGTTTGTAAGGTATCTTCACATCTATAATCAAATACTTAAAATTCCTTTATTTTATCTGCTTGTGGCGTTTTTTTTTCTAAATTACTTTAACGACTGGCCAACAAAATAAAACTACAATAATGCGTGTAGTCAGGTATATGGTAATTATATTCTTCTCATGACTTTATAAAGAATATTAAGTTAACTCAATTCAAATCTATTATAAATTAAACTTTCTGTTGTTATTTATAAATAATTGCAAGTAGCAAACGTAAAGAAAGATTGTGTATGCAGCTGATCGTTTTTGTAAACCACATACTACCACATTTCTACCAATGATTCATCAATATTAATGTACTTAATTGCCTAAAATTTAAAGCTTACGTTATACGGTTTCCCCATAATATCACAATATTGTGGTTTCAATATGTATGTGTGCACATATTACATTACTTAATTTGAAGAAGCTTACGCAAGTTTGAAGGTAGAAATGGTTAAAAAGTTGATTTTAAATATTACTAGTTCCTATCTGTAACCGGCAAAGTCTACATCGAAGCACCCATGAATATTAAAATATACACAATGTAATAAGATTTTTAAAGTTTTTTTTAAGTTCAGTATTTTTTAAGATTAAGAAAATCTTGGCACAAAACATATAACATTGAAATACATTACAATAGTTAATAAAGCGTTTACGATCAAATGTATTATTTAAGAAATTAAATATACATCTATATTAATGATGTATCTTCAATATCGTCTTGTAAAGGAGTTGTTTTTGTTACAGGATTGAGCCCATAATGGAAAATAAAATCGAAAGTCAATGACTGTGACCCTACTGAAACCAATACGAAGTTTATTAGCCGCGGACGCGGATCTCAAAGAGTACTTCAGACTAACAGTCCGACGCGGCTAAATACGACAATAGTCATAAAAAAAAAATTGGAGCAGAACAAACAACAAAACTATTACTACTAAGCAAGGCAAGGTTTGGGTTTTTAAAAGCACAGTGTTTGTATTGCAGATATTGTGGCTAGACAGTTATCGCTAGATCATTAAACTTTATGCAAGCCATAGACTGATCAACAACGCGAAAGATTCAACGTGTTGTGAAGTTGCAATTGAATCTAATTGATAAAGTGAACTTTATGCGGCTTATCAAGTCAGGAATGTCTACATACATAACCCCTACATAAAGAAACCACTCTAACTTCAGTAGTTTAAAACCCAACCTAGAAAATTGAGCGGAAGGAAAAGGGTTTTTCTAAGATAATAGTCCCCTGGTAAGTTACTGGTGCGTGGATCAATTGTTAACAGTTCATTAAATAACTATGTTCATTATATGCGGTACTCAAAGAGTATATAATTATACTAGATTTATGTAGATGTGTAAGAGGCAGAAAAAAGCCATAGAGGCCCGAATCTCTTAAAATTCATAAACAACGTAAATTTCCAATGTAAATTCTATTAAAATTTTTGTTTCTTACTAAAAAGTATTCTAAAGTATGCTGCCTTTCCCTGGGTAAGCCCTTGTAGCCATGTCTTTTTGTCCGTCCTTCTAACTGTTCGTTTTGATGACAGCCTAGATCTCTGACTCTATATAGGTAGAGCAACCAAATATTGTATCCAGACTCTTGTGATATCACACTGTTTAAAGTGTATTTCCAAATTTCGACCCGTCCCCAAACGCTTCCACAAAGAGCAAAATTCTGCGGCATCCAAAATTTTGAAGATACTAGAAAACCCAAAGCGCAGAATCATAGAGAACGTCTGTATCTATAGATTACTGAATTTAGATCAGATCGGATCACCATTATAGCCAGAATGAACAAAACAATCTTTTATGCACAATCTCCGCGGCTCTCTCAAACTTTTTCTTGTGCAATGGTGTAGTGAGCGGTATATAAAGTCTGGTGTTGGTGTGAAGAAAAAGGGTGAGAGATGTAGCGGACAGTATAGAAACCGGTAGAAATAATTATGATATTCTAGGCCATTATATGGAAAGAGAATAAGCGAAGTGCAAGAAAAAGCATTATAGCACCACCCTCGAAATTTATATTCCAGGTACTTAGTTTAAGCATTCCATTAATGTATATCCAAAGACTCTATAACACAACAAGATGCGTAACGGGGAAGAAAAAAATGTATGACAGCAGCACAATTTTAAAAGAAATCTAACACCACACTTGCGTATGTGTGAGTGCGCTACACAAAATGTATTCTATTTTTAGAATTTCGTTGTTAGTCTCGGGCATACACACACATATGTACATATGTATGGATGTGTGTGTTCTACAATTTTTGCCGTCTGAAATTCTGACTCTGAATCCAAATTTCGTATTTCGTCAAAGCTGCACAATTCTTAATGATGAAAACGAAATTAAGCTACTGCAACTGCTTAGGAAAAGAAATACGGACGGTGGTGCAGTGGCGAAGTTGCTTGCGTACGGAAAGTGTGAACCAAGTTCAATTCCCAGCGAAAGGTGATAATTTTTTTTTTTTGGCGTTATCTTTATTTTAAAGTCAAATTTACTTAATAATGAATGCCATGAATAAAACAAAATTCCAAATTAAAAATAACAAATATAATAGCCACTGAAAATTAACAACAAAAAAAAAATACAGAATAATCAAACAAGAAAAAAGTTATAAGTTATTCTAAATGAAAAAAGCAGGGGCGGGAAAAAAAAGGAGGGGCCCCCAAATTGATGGTTGCCTAGGGCCCCGTTGAGGCTTGATCCAGCCCTGCCCTACTCCGTTTAAAAGATATTCAACAAAGTAGATTTGGAAGGCATTGTTGAAATGATTTTTAGCGTATATTAATTTTTGTATATTTTGGGAAAATTAGTTAATTTTTAGATAGAGTTGGTTAAAGAAAAAAAAAAAAAAAAAAAGATAAAAATAAATAAACTTGCACTGAGTGAGGCTTAAGCTCGCTTAATTTCGCTTTGCAGTCAGCCACTTAGTACGCTGCGCCACGGGCTTAGGAGAAATAATGTCGTCAATATGTCACGTTGATTCCTTTGTTGCGACAGAACATACGAAAAAATGCACTCACACAACCAAGCGCTCAAACACGGACAAGACAACGCACACATAGACAAATCGAAAATCCACATCGAAAATCCACGATAAAAATTTCGTGTGCTTTTCAGCAGTATGGTCGTTACGCATCTTGTTGTGTTATAGAGTCTTTGGTATATCTATGGAAAAAGTAAAAAAAAGCCAGGAAGGCGAGCAGCTGTGGAGAGAGAGTAAGAAATTAAAGTAGTTCGTGGCTCTCTCCTCGAGTACATGAAAACAGATTATTTATTGGTAATCCACACTGGAAGAGAGACAGAAATCGCGACGCAAGAGTTTTTTGGACGGGTTAATTACGTATCAAGTGATAAACGGCGAGTCAACTTCATTAAATTTTGTATATAGTCCAAACTTGTTTTGTCAACCAGGAAAGTTTTCTAGATATACTCGGACCAGATTACAGAGCTGAAATACTAAAAAACGTGGCAACTAATTGGAAAATATTACTGAGTAAAATTTTCTAAATAATTTTAAGTTCATGGTAGAATATATGTTGACTTTCCCCACGTCAGTACAAACTCTGAAACATAAAATATTCCTATGAAACATTAAAGAGAAAATGTGCCCCAAAAAGCACCTGAGTTTGGGAAGCTTTTCGGTCATTCTGCAACGAATCGTACTGTCTCTCCGGAGCTGTGACTGCTGCATCCGAGAGTGGATAGAGTAAAGTACATATGGCTCCCATGTACAGGTACTACAAAGTGGCAGCTTACTTTAAAAAAAAAGGTGTATTCTTGCACAAATTATAATTTTACAAATATGTGTACCTGAATATCATTAAAGCTTTCAAAAAACTTTTTTTAAAAAGCTTGCATTCCTATTTTTTAGAGTATGTATATAGTACAATTAGACAACACTGAAAAACCTCTAGCATTTACTAATAGTCACCTTAGTTCGGTCTTTAGCTTCAGAGCGACGGTCGATATTTCTTTGAATTGGAGCCGTTAGGTTACGAAGTTATATTTAATTCAATATACTAAATTTCAGTTTTAATATTCAGTAATATCCAATATTCTAATAATTATAATTACAAAGTAAGTGTCACGACAAATTATTTTCAGGTATATTTTTATAAAAGAATTCAGTGAAAATAAAAAAATGTATTTAAGTAGATATCATATACTGTGCGTCGTAAATAGCAGGAGGCGACCCACATATTTAATATTACTCAAGTAGCAATATGTATATTTTTATATTACCTCAAAATCAAAGAAATTTGTTCATTCGTATTGTAGAAGCAAAAGCAAAAGGCATCTGTCCTATTTATTTTCCTAACCTCGTTCATCTCCATTTAAACAGTCAAGTTTTTGTATGTAGTACATATGTACGTATGGGTCACATAAAGAGAAAATAACGTAAATACATGGCATAAATATGTGCATATGTACTTAGTATGTATACGTACGAATGTAATTTATTTACATTTAATCACATTTTTCTGATCTATGTATTACCCAAGCTCTATAAATATATTAAAAAATGTATATCGAACATACGAAATATGTACATCTGATATAAATACATAGTTGAATGTGTATTAATAAACAAACAAAAAAGGCCATTCATATACAATTCGAGTAGTCTGAGCATTGGTCGCCGATTTATAAGTGCCAAAAGAAGTCAATAGGCCGGTGGAAAATAAAAAGGTTTAAGATAATTACAATCATACTTTGCTTGAAAAAGTAACATTATATTTATTATGAGCGCTGACGTACTTGGCCCACTATGTACATATGTCCACGAGACCCAAAGCACTTGCCCTAAATCGCGGCCATGTAGAAAAACTAAGCAGTATTTTAGCCTCTTCAACTAGATTGTGCAAAAAATTACATCAAACGTATTTATACTATTATGGGGTATTTTTTAAAGTTAAACAATAGCGGGACTTGGGTCACAATAGAATTCAGAATTCATTAAGATTTATTGTATTTGTGGTAAAAGTGGATGTGTGCAATGCACAGAAGGAAACGTTTCCGACCCCATAAAGTATATATATTCTCGATCAACATCAATAGCCTTATAATAACCCGATTGCCAACCGAACCTTTTGCATTTTTTTGTACAAGCGAGATTTAGTTTTATAAAACGCAGAGTAAACCAAATATGGCTACTTAAATTTCTCGAACGGGAAACTAAAGTGACATTAGTATTGAAATTGGAAAACAATTTTTTTAGGAGAATAAAATGGAATCTGAAAATGATATTTTAGCAACACCATCGATACCTTCTGGAAATATTACAATGCCTACTAAAAAGGCAAAATCGAAAAGACCGAAAAAATGTGAATATGATAACCAAAACATTTCAATGGTAAGGTTCTACTATAATGATAAATACAAATATATAACCTACATAAATATAACAATTTTCAATTTATTATAGAAAAGAAGTTTTAGTAAATTTGACGATCTACAAAAACGCAATCTTATTCACGTACGTTCACGAGATTCTAGTAAAGCAAAAGAAATTTTTCGTGTAAGCAACTCATCAATTAATACATTCATCTCATAATTTTCTCTTAAAAAAAATTTGTAAACTCCAGGGACTAAGTAGATATACACATAATCATTTACTTCCTGTTGGAAACTTTTTTCTTAAATTTTGTTTAATTTTTTTTTAGAATCCAGGTAAAGAGCAGCGGGAAAACTGTCGACAGTGCAGTAAACCTGTATACAAAATGGAAGAAACCATCCTTCAATTTAAAAACGAAAAAGTTATTTTCCATAAAATCTGCTTACGTTGCAGGGACTGTTCGAAACAACTAAAGTTTGTATTCCTTGTTTTTTAACCGTGTATAAAGGTATGGAAATTCGACCTTAAAAGTTTTAAAAGTTACTCTTTGGCATAATTTATCGCAATAGCAATAAAACCATTTCAATCTTTCCGTCTGTTTAAACATGCGTCTTGGCAAATATATAACAGAAAGTAAAAAACAGTAAAAGTAAAAAGTAATTATAGATATATAGAATGAATATTTGGTCAAAATTTTATTTATGTTTACCAACGATAAAACTGTAGCTTGCATTTATTATTTAAATAACTTAATAATACTCGTTTGCTAATATGGTTCTACTTTATTGTTGTATCTAGACCTGAGAGCTATCATGTTTATAATGGCAACCTCTACTGCACCGTGCACTTCAAGTTAATCTTTGCGCCTAAAATAGTTCATGAAGAATCTAAGCCACGCAAACCTGAGCTTATAATACGTGAGAATCAACCAATTGAATTACCCCCTGATGTCGCTCGAGGTAATTGTATTACAGACTTACGGGAAACCCGAACAGGGCTCTAACTTATAGCGATAAAAAACCAACACTGATCAAAAATGCATATGATTAATCGAAGATGGTTCTGTGTATTACAAACTTCTGCCCAATTTTAATATACCTTTTCACGAGTATAAAAAGATGGTCTGCACTAGTCCGTCTTGATATTCATTAAGCTCACCCCAAAATTTTGCCAGACCCTTCAACCCTCAGAAATTGCAAAATCTTGTGTCGTCAGAGTCATTTATTATACGAGACCCAAGCTTTAGATATCTGAACCATGTAGAAGAATATGTTGTGGGTAATTGGCAGAATTTCATCCACTGACCCATAATAGAAAAGGCAATTATTCTGAATGCTCTAATGCAGGGCTCGGCACCCATACAGTGAAGTGCGCTTGTGTGCGTAGCTAAAACACGAAGATGCCTACGCCGAAACCGGTTTCTTGCTTTACACTGCACGAATCTATTTGTGGTTGATGCTGCAATTATTTCGTGTTGAAACTTTCAAGGAAAACAAAAGTTTAATCCCCCTTATTAAGTTATAATCAATATGGTTTAAATTGTAATGTCTTTCAATGACATATAAATTACAGCGGTACGCAACATAATCGCAAATTGTGCATTGCGCATCGCCATCCATATTTTGGACAAAGAAAAATTTGTTTTCCCAATTCCCATCGAACATTTTTTGTCTCAGTGTATATTTCAGTAGTTGCGTAGCGTGGTCTCACATTGATGACGGCTGATCAGCAACTGCTGCCATTTTCGTTCTGTATCTGGTGTGAAAACGAGACAACAAGTGCCGAAGTCGCATTGCCGAAGCCATACGAAGCGCCGCTGCTTTTTTATACTGTCGGTGTACCGGCAGCGCAGCAGCAGCGCCTTGTCCCGCACCCATGGGATAGGGCCGTGCCGAGCCCTGCTCTAATGAGTATGCATCGGATATGATAATATATTCGACATGTGAAATTTATTACAGTTCCGTCGACTGACCTATTTAAAAATTTGGCGAAGAGCAAAATCTAGTGAAAAGATTGCTATTTTCAACAAGCTCCAATTTTTTAGACGGTCATTTTAATGCTTCTTTTAAAAATAAAGAAATGTCTTTTAGTATCATTAAAAATGACCAAAAAAGGTCGAAAAAAGGTGGTGGTGCAGAAAAGAGTTACTTTTACACATCCGCTTTCAAAAGTGTCAACGAGTGAAGCCGCTTGGTAGTACTACTATAGATTATAGCCAAAATTAAGAAAACACAACGCCGTGGCTGACTGCGCTGCCTCGCGCACGCTTTCTTTTTTTCCAATGTGTCTTAATAGCTATGGGTGAGTTTTAAGACCGGCAAGTACACCTCTCAAAATACATATATGTATGACTATATCAGAAAGCTATCGTAACTATGCGCTTCGTAAGGGTTGGTAAAGAACGACCTCTTGGAGCTTTCTTCATTGTTTATACATACTTATTCATATTAACTAAATGATATTATTTTACTTTATTTCTTAATTATACTGAGAAAATTAATTTTAATACTTAGCATCCGATAAGCCGAATCTTGGACTTGAGGAACTTCAACAACTAAATGTCCGCTCAAGATTTCAAGTCTTTGAAAATAGAGGTAAAACTGATAAGGAGGATGACCATATTCAAACGCAACAACGTCAAGATGCAAACATTTCGAAAAGTATGTCCATATCAACCAAACTATCTAAACTGCATAAAAATGGCCTACTGGACACTGGTGAAAACAAGATCCTAGATTCAGGTAAATTTGATTATTCTGTCCAAGGTGAAAATATTACACGTAACAAATATAATCTGCAAAGATGATGATGATGACAGCGACACGGCCCTAATGCGTGTTAAAAAAGATACCGAAAAAGAGAGGCCAGTCGGATTGGGCGATGCGATGAACGATATTAAAACCAGATTTGAGCAAGGTCATATGATGTCAAAAGAAGAACGACGCGAAGAACGAAAACAGGAAATTCAAAACATTCGTTCTCGGTTATTTATGGGTAAACAGGCAAAGATAAAGGAAATGTACCAACAAGCTGTAGCTGAATCAGAACAAGGAATCACTTCAGTGGGTAAGATACCGAATTCGGAAATCGGTGTAGCAGCTCGTTCAATTAAAGATCGATTTGAGAACGGTGAAATGTTTAGTGAAAACAGTATTCAATCGAAAGAAAGGACCCACAGTTTGGGATTGCTAGAAGATGCAGATGTTTTCGAGTCTGGTATGAATATTTACATTTTGTTAAATAAATTTTGAACTGTACCATTTTGTCAATTTACAAGTAATTAATTTCTAATTCAATCGTTTAAAACCAAATTCAGCTATTAGTAAAACATCGCGTAGCATCTTCATGGAACTAGATGCAAATATCAATACGAATGTCAATGGAATGATTAAAATTCAGAATAATAGACCAGATATCTATACAAAAATTCTGATCAACCCTAATCTTAATGTTGAACAAGAGGTAAGATTGTGAAAATAATATATAAATGTTTTAGTAAACCTAAAAAAGTATATATGTATGTAGAACGCTGATATAGATATTATTAGATCCGACGCAAAGGAAGAAGACGTTAAAGTAACTACAGCTGAGTTAAGTGAAAGGTTTAACTTTTTCGAAAAATTTCAACCCATCGAGAATGTAAAGCGTCAGTTTCGCATGACGCCACCACGTGAAGGGGTTGTCAAATTACCAATGTCGGACTCAGACGCTGAGTTGTCAGATACAAAGAAAACTACATGTTTTAACGACACCGTTCTGCAAAAAACTCAAACCGCTTCAAACATTTTAAACAAGTTTCGACAATTAGAGGGAAAAAACACTGATGATATCGATAAGCCGAGGAAACCCAATCCACTTAAATGCTTCACTCCGCCACCCGAAAATATTTATAATTCTGATAGATCTGAAAGCGAAGAGGAGCAGGACAGTGAAGACGATGAAAGTGACTTTGAAAAAGATACTCCAACATCAAGCTGCAGTGACCAGGCACTCAAAGAGGTAAGATTTATATGGGTATTCTTAAGCCTAGAAAATGGACACGAATAATGGACAATCACACTAAATTGCAGGCGCAAATCGCAGCTCGAGCTAAAAAATTGCGCGCAAAATTTGAAAAATGGCAGATCACCGAAATGGAACGTGAGCTCAGTGAAGGGCGAATAGACATTAATTCTCAACAGGTTTCGAATGATTCACTAGAAAGTGCAAAAACGTGAGTATCACGACATTAACTGACATTAAACATTAAATAAAATTACGCACCTTATAAAAATATATAATTTCAGTATTCGAGAACGCTTTGAAAATATGAACAACAGTGAAATGTATCCTCTCCCTACCCCACGGTATCAAGTAAACCGTTTTGTGGTATGTATTAGCCATAAAAATATGGTATTTGACTGATTTGTCTCATTTTAGTAATGGAGTTTTGGAACAATTGAAATTTACTATTTCGCTGTTAATCAAAAATTTTCCTTGCGGATTCAAATTCACAGAAATAGTGGTGTATTTTCTTATATTCGACGTATTTAAGGAATTAATAATTATTATTTTTTAAATGTCAAATAAAACAATATGATGTATATTTACTTCAGTTCTGCATAAAATTCAAGCATTTTTGTACATTGATTTTAACTGATATTTTATTTCAGAGATTAATTTTATAGTTATTTAGAACATCAAAACGAAATACTATTTAAAGAAGATAAACTAGATCTTTTCACCTCTATCGATCGTTAAAGAAGTTACCGAAAAAGTTTGTTTGCCCTATTTTCTCGCTTAAAAGTGTAAAAGTAAAAGCCATGAATTCTAGCTACAGTGTCCTCATAATGTCCGATTGGTAATTATAATTATAACAGTGAAATAGCTTGGCACGGAATGTACGTGCATCTCAATGAAACCACTTTCACTCCCGAATTTAGATGACATGCTAGCTGAACCTCGCCTGTGAACTTTCTCACTTTGGATGTACGCCAACGACAATTTCAATTATGCTCTTCCGATTAATCATATACGGCCAGAGAAGGAAACGTTTCCGACCCCATAAAGTATATATATTCTTGATCAGAATCAATATCAGAGTCCATAGAGCCATGTCTGTCTGTCCGTCTTGTTTGACGCCTGGATCTCAGAGACTATAAGAGCTAGAGAAACCAAATTTGGTTTCCAGACTCATGTGATATCACACTGCTACAAGTGTATTTCAAAATTTCGCCCCGCCCCCGTCCGACCACACAAAGGACGAAAATCTGTGGCATGCACAATTTTAAAGATACGATTAAACTAAAAACGCAGTATCGTAGAGAATGACCATATCTACCAGAATGCCTAATCAGATCGGATCATAATTATAGCCAGAATGAAGAAATTAATTTTCAGTTGCCATCCCTGCCCCCTCCAGCAAACGACAACGCAACTCATTTTCCTTCTCGATCGCACACTCAGCCGCGTTCAGTTCGCGAGCAACCCCTAGCGGAGGAGATGAAGAATCTAATTGGAACATGTACAATCTACATGTTAGATGTATAATATACATAGTATATGTAGATGTAGATAGCAGATGTAGCAAAAAAATGTAAAATGTAAAATTTTTTGTTTCTTCTAAAATTCTAAAAAATCATAAGCTCAAAAATGTATATACTGACTGAGTACGGGTATAAGTAGAGTCGCGTCCCCAGAAGCGACTCACACGTTCCTTCTCGTTTATATCTTATATGTATAAATTTAACATTTTTAATGTGGCAAATACAATGATTATGATATCTTATTCTATTGCTTTATCCATAAATTCCAAGAATCGTTTGGCATATTGTTCTGGGTCACATGTCGATATTCCATCAACGTTACTACCATACTTAACGGTCTTTGCTGCTTTTGCTGCCTGAAATTTTAAAGTATTAGGCGAAAAAATCAGTATTTAATTCCTTTTAAATTACCTGTTTCTTGACACCGTATTGTGTTAGGACATCAATAATAGCTATAAAGTAGATTTCTCGTTTTTCTGAAATAATTAACAAAAATATAGATGAATAAAAAATAAAATTGTTAAGTACATCTCTCTATTATATAAAATAAGTTGTTTTTTTCAGTCACCACGCGATATTTTATTTTTTGTGCCTCGTCTTTAATGAACAATACCTTAAATGACGCCTATTTAATGCAACTATACAGACGACACAGGATACAATTTGCATCATTTCATCATCAATAAAAAAATTAAACAGGTATGTATACATATATCAAAATATAAGACAACAAAAATACATACAAACGAGTAGGAACGTTGCCGCGTCTACTGATTCTATATGGTACCATGTACAGGAGCCATATTCTAAAATCGGACGAACTAGTAAGATGTAGAGGGACTTCGTTATATAGGGGTCAATAAATTACTTGACCACCTCTTTAAAAACAACAGTACGCCCTTGATCTTATTCGAGAGAACCACCGCAGAGGGAGTGGCTCCTCCAACAAGGATCTGGAACGATGAAACGTCATTAATTTGCATTTTGATATCGAAATAAAACGCCTTATACTGGACACAGAGTTTAGCATAATCCGCATACATGAGTCCTCGAGAGCCATTAATGAAGAGTTGAATAAGTAAGTGGCCTAGATAGCTGCCTGAGGTACTCTTGAAGTAACAGGTGAAGATAAAGACTTTTTTAAGAGGACTCCTTAAGACCTAGAGCTAAAAATCCACCTCAAAAAAATGTGCGGAAGCCCTAAATTGTGGTCTTATATCTTATAGATATAAGTGATTTGCAAAGATGTTGCAAGCTCGGAATACAATTCTTTGCGTCAGACTTGCTACCTATGGAGAGGAATGATAAAAAAAGACATGGCTATGACTGATCCACTTCGTAAACTCGCCATCCCGGACGATTTAATACAGTTTATGCAACATCGACTGCCACTTCGAATGTAGGATGTTATGAGCTTGGGTTAGCAAGGCTATGGTCGGATCTGAAGCAAAGCATAGATCAAGCAATCGACCCAAGGAATTTACTGCAAAAACACTGACTGTTTAGGAACAAAAAAACAAGTCTGGTCACTACGAAAGAGAACTGACGTTATTTTATGATTTTTTTGGCTGAGATATGAATTTACCAGTAACACAATACAAACGAGAAGGAACGTGTGAGTCGCTTCTGGGGACTACATATACAATGTATATTCTACATCTAACGTGTAGATTGTACATGTTCCAATTAGATTCTACATCTCCGCTAGGGGTTGCTCGCGCACTGAACGCGGCAGAATGTGCGAGCGAGAAGGAAAATGAGTTGCGTTGTTGTGGGCGGGAGGGTGAGGGGAAGCAACTGAAAATGAATTTCTTCATTCTGCCTATAATTATGATCCGATCTGATTCAGTCGGCAGTCTGGTAGATATGGATATTCTCTACGATACTGGGTTTTTAGTTTTATCGTATCTTTAAAACTGTGCCTGCCACAGATTTTCGTCCTTTGTGTGGGCGGAAGGGGGCGGGGCGAAATTTTGAAATACACTTGTAGCAGTGTGATATCACATGAGTCTGGAAACCAAATTTGGTTGCCCTATCTCTTATAGTCTCTGAGATCTAGGCGCTCATCAAGACGGACGGACGGACGGACAGACGGACATGGTTATATAGACTCGGCTATTGATGCTGATCAAGAATATATATACTTTATGGGGTCGGAAACGTTTCCTTCTCTGCGTTAAACACATCCACTTTTACCACAAATCTAATATACCCCTTAACTCTTTTTTGAGTACGGGTATAAAAAAAAACCAATAAAGCAATATCCGACTACCTTGCATTCGGAACATTCGGAACGGACATGGCTATATCGACTCATCCTGATAAAAAATTAAATACTGTATGGGAATCGAATCTTCCTCGAGAGTGTTAGAATAACAAAACACCGAAAGTGACTCTACCTTTTTTTAGTCTTTGACGTTATTTGAGCATTAACGCAAATTACGCTTTAAGTCTAAAAATATGTATATTTATTTACAAAATTCCATGCACACAGTGCAATTTACCTTCAATACTTGGAATGGCGTATATATCTACTTCATAGACGACTTCTTTATACTGCGCACCTCTTGGTGAATCTGGAGGCGTGTTGTACGTCCAGCTTAAAAGAAATTTATTCATCAATAAAGCACAAAGTAGTTAAATATTTTCAATTACCGTTCACCACTATCGCACTCCTCGCTCTCGCTATTTTCACTGCGTCCAGCAGCTTGGATATTATCTCCCTGTAGGGCTTCCTCTTCCGCTCGCACACAGTCATGTACACCGACCAACAATGAATAGTCCATGATGTGCAACTTGGTAAGAAGCTATATTAAAATACATACATTCAGTTTATTGGTTAGTTTGATAAAATATCATATAGCATTATGTTTTGAGTTTGCATGACAATATTTTTTGTATACCTGGTAGAGTATACATATTTATTTTTATTAGATTTAAAATTAAAACTTGATTGTTTAATGATAAAAAAAGCTGTGAAATCACACATTTGCAGGAGAAACACTAAATAAAAATAAAATTTGTGTAAGAAAAAAAAAAAAAAAATGCTTACATCCACATCATTATTTAAAGTATCCATTAACTTTTTTTTTGCTTCGTCTCCAATTTCCAGCTTGACTTTCTGTTTTATAAAGTCATTATCCTTGAATGTTGGCAAATGTTTTTCGAGCTCCTTTTCAGATGCTTCACGATCCACAGTACTACCTTTTAAATCAAACTTTCTATAAAAAATATTTATGGTTACGAATAGGCGAAATAACGGTCTATACGTTTCCATACTTGTGAATTGTCAAATGAGAGCTGAAAACATTACGCATGACAACAAAATAATATTGCACGCTCTCTACGGTGATCCGATACATTCCCAAATATTGTGGCAAAAGAGTTTTTCCATGTCTTTCAACAACGTACTAGAAAACAAAAACGATATAGTTTTTTAATAATATTAAACATTCTACTTACCGGATGATAGTGCTTTAGAAAGGCATGCATACGCTCTATTTCTTCTGATGTTAAGCTTTTAATTATAAAAAACTTGTCATAGCTCTGGTAAAACTGGGCCCCTGACTTTCCGGAAGAGTCGATTTGTATCGGCTGTGACCGAGTCAACGACTCGCGATAGTCAACATCATCAACATTGAATCTCTCTCGCAAATTGCGAAACACTAGGGGGCAATATTCTTTTACTTTAAAATGTGACGGCATATTTTCCCTTAAAATGTAATAGATTCAAGATTTGGATAACTTATTGGCTCTGTTAAATAACTGTTTTCCTGTACGGAAAGTCATAAAGCTTTAAGATTTTAATGGATTAAGTAAACTGCAAGTTTGAAGTACTAAATATACCAAAGAATATAATTTTTACGAAGCTCTTACTTGTTAAATAAATGATTATCCACTTTAATTTTTGAATAAGCCCGAAAGTCATCTGGGAGAAGCATCACTGGTATATTTACATGGCTTAATTCATTTATCTGAAAGAATACATACTAGCTTTTAATACAAATTTCAACCACATTTTTAATTGGATAACGTACTGTGTGGTTTATGCCCCACATAAATACACTTA